ATATCAAATGAATATCATCTTCATTAGAAAATAACTATTTCATGCTAGAGGCTCACACACCAGAAAATCACTGAGAGAACCAATGGCCCCTGACACTTCAATCAGGCTGTTCTGAGGAAAGAGCAGTTAATTTACCATTCAATACAGAAGATGCTACATTTCCCAGAAGAAAATGAGCAAATACCTTTCTCTCCAAAAGATTTCCAGACCTCTCCTCTATTTCCACATAACAATCCCTTCAAGATCATTGCACATCTGAGAGTGATCTTGTTACAACTATTGAATATTGTCCCAGCTAGCAACAAAAGTTAGAAAATAATATTTTTTGACCACCAGCTAACTACTGAAAAATGCCTAAACATGGAATATAATTCCCAGGTAATGCTTGTTTAAGTGTTCAGATCAATCTTGGCAGTTATTGAAAATGTTTGTGGAGAGTATTGTGTTGTTTACAGTACACGGGGCCTTGATTGCTATTACCAGTTGTTACCTTGGCTGGTATGATTCCATAAACACTTAATGGGACCCTATTTCACTTTATATGACCCAATAACACGTCCTAGAATTAATTATCACCTGTAATACATACACCTTAATTCTTATCGCCAGTAAATATAGGTTCATCCTTGACTTGTTGATGTCCCCAATGTTTTAATACACACATTGTCAACTATTAGCACTCAACATTCTAAACACCTTGACGTTTCTTGATTTGAAACTCATCGTCAATGTCTCAAGCTGCATTACTACTTGTATTGCTGAAACCTATGCCATCAGTGACGCAAAAAGCAGATTTCTCAAGCTGCATTACTATTTGTAATGCTGAAACCTATGCCATCAGTGACCCAAAAAGCAGATTCCAAATTTTGGATCAATAAAGGTTAACAAGTTGGGACATATCGACATTCCGGGTCTTCATGACTTCCGTAAATTACTGATGGTGACAAACTTTTCAAAGCAAATATCTCCTTAATTTTCTTGCTATTTGCAAAACTAGTTGGGGGATGCGAATGGAGGGCAATAACAAAGTTCTTTTTGAAGACGAGAGAAAAGAAGCACGCTGGAACCTTAGTACCAACATAAACCATTGCTCTCCTGAACGCACTACATTGACCTACAAGTTACAATTGGTCAAGGCAGGGAGCAAGTTGGGAACGTTATAAGAGCTCAGTGAAGCATTGCAGTTCAATCATAGTTGGGAATAGTTATTGAATTTTGAATTTTCTCACCCTATTCTTTCTTCAATCTCCATATATAGTCTATTTTGGTTCGGAGCCTCAATGCCCTGATATGCCCCTCCACATCTTATTATGTTACGGAGATGCTCCCTTGAATCTGCAAACTGCCACCAACCCAAATTGTTTAGTTTGTAGCTGCCAAGGGCAACCTCTTTGAATTTCTCAACTACATTTTATACAATCATTTCGATGAAATAGTCGAAGTAAAAAAAATTTGTGTATGATTTGTCTTACGTTGACAGTTTATCTGACTTCATGGTCCTATCAGCTGTACTCCAAGCGTTATTATTGATCGTTATTCCATATTGATCAAGTACTATTGTTTAAAGTCAGCTTGCGAAGCATCCAAGAAAATGATAATTCACATTTCCTCCAAGAAATCTGAACTTGGGATATTGGCTGATCATGTATCTGCTATATAAATATTCAAGGTTATCGATAACGGATAGCGTCGCATAGCGGTGAGACATCACTAAGGCTACTTCGGGCTATTGCGGTAAAATAGCGGTAAAAAGCGCAAAGTCAAATAACGGTCTAATTTAGATATGTATAAATACTAAAAAAATTAAAGAAAAATCTAAGAAATCTAAAAGTACATATTGGATGATTTAAAAAGATCCTAAACATGAAATAGACATGTAATCATCACGTAATACCGAAGATGACTGGAGGAGTTAAAAAGTTATCGTCTTCGAGAAGAAGAGCTTAGCGGTGACAGGACTGCCCTAAGAGGAGCTCACGGTGAAGGAGGTGAGAGGAAGTATCAAGGTAGGTACCAGAGGCTATGAGAGGTGGTGGGAGTATGCTAAAAATCACAGGAGACGGTGGAATGCAATGGTCAATGGTTGAGTTTAATTTTAAAAAAATAAGCTTCAAACCGCTTTTAAATAGCAGTCAAAAAGCAAATTTCGAATGCAATCGCTCACTATTTACCGTTATGACACACTATTGGTCGTTTTTACTAACAGACATATTCCGCAATATGTCACCGCTATTGCGCGATAGCGTAGCGGGCGATAGCGTCGCGGGAAGGGACCGCTAACGTTGTTAGCGCCGCTATTGCGGGGCTATTTACCGCTATTTATAACAGTGTAAATATTTGATCATAATTGTGATTATGAGTAGTAAACGAAAAATGTTAGAATTTAGATCCTTATCTTCTTAATGCAGTCACCTAATTTATGGATCCTTATCTTCTTAATGCAGTCACCTAACTGTATCATATAGTAGCTTGACGTTGCATTATTGAAGAGCTGCAAGTTTTTTTATTTATCATTTTTTCTGCTATTACCCAGTGGATGGAGCTCAGGGAAACACCTCATTCATCCTCTCATGGAAGCTAACCAATTCTAGACCCCATTGGTAGAGAGCATGGGATGATACTTGGGGGAATATTTAGGAAAAGCAGAGAGTATAGGATAGCAGACATTATGGCTTTCGATGTAGCAGAATGGGCAATTAATATGTGTATTTGTTAAAGATTTTGTTATTGCTGCTATTTGCACATTATTTTCAAGTTAATATCCATTAGAGCTAATTTGGTAGTAATGGATATGTTTACGTACTTGTTCCTTAGGACGGCAACGGACTTGGAGCCTTTGCAACCTCTGCTAAGGAAATACATTGGGTTTCTGGAAATGGAAGTTTTGCCAGCAGCTTCAGATACTTCAAGGCCAAGAGTGCAGCTTGAGCAAGCAAATGTATGGCTTGGAATCAAATCATTGTATGTTAAACAAGTTCTTCCTGTTTGATAATGTTTAAGAGACATATTTGATGTCCACAGTTAAGAATATTAGGAATTTCCTTTATATTATCTCTTTTGAGACTTGTTGTTTTCAACTTGTAGGCTAGGGTTTCTTGAGCCTCCAGCATTTGAAGACGGGATATTGGAGAACTATCCTAATTTCCTCAACATTGTACTCAACCATGTCAGTGATGATTCTTTTGAATCTTCATATGCTATAACTTGTCTGAGAGCGTGCTTTGAAATGCTTGGTATGTTTTTAACTAAAATCTACCTGTCTAATAATCATTCGGTAGATTAAAAAATAGTTTTACATGTGGGTTATTTGTTACTAGGATGCAAACTTTGGTGGAGAACCACTTTATCACCAAGCGTAATGCGCAACACACTATTGGGTCAGTGCTTTCATACTCGAAGTGAGAAAAGCCATAAAGATATATTTGATCTTTTCCTCCCATTTTTACAGGCATGTTCTAGCAGTTAATTTCTTTAATGCGACCTTTTATGTCAACTTATTTCCTAAAATTCTTACTCCCTTTTTGTTTTGTACATATGTTGGTTCTTTATTGTTTATATTTATTTGATTATAAAACTCTTTTCCAGTCTCTTGAAGCTTTGCAAGATGGTGAGCATGAAAAGCAGCGGCGGCATTTTCTTTATTTTCTTCTGCACCAAGTGACTCAAAGTAGCAACTTCAGTGTTCTGACAAGAAAGAGTGCTCGCAAGGTATTGATTCTATCATATACTGGTTTTGGTAATTGTGCAAATGAACCAGTCATTTTTTATCTATTCAATTATCTACTGGACTGAGGTTAAGTACTATCATTTTCTTTGGTTTATCATGGTCAATATAAATACTACTGATAATATTTTCACATCTCTTTACTTTCTTGATCAGATCGCACTTCTTATCATACATCGTGGTTACAAGATTAACCCTCCTTGCCCACCTTTTGAGTGCTCGCATATGTGGTAAGCACTTATAAATTTTCTTCTTCTGGTTCATGCTACATATAGGTCTTCATAATCTCATAATTTATGTAGTTCTTCTAATGACATATTCATAAAAATTATGACCTGTGTAGGAACACGTGAGAAATAATATATATATTATTTTGGTTAAGGGTAAGTTCAATGCATCTCTCCCAAAATTTACCTTCATACCACATCTCTCCTGT